GTTTTTCGTCAAACAACTTTTTTTCTGTCTTAGAAAAATCAGTTCTACAACATATCAAAAAATTGTTTCCTCCGGAGCCTGACTTTAATGCTAATACTTTAATTGCGAGTGATTGTGATTAATATGTATGTATATGTATATGTATATATATATATATATATATATATGTTAGGAGTGTGCGGGTGGGCGCGCGCGTGCACTGTGCGAGAACCGTTTATGGAGAGGGGCACTGTACCGGACTGATGCATCAGGTCGAGTGAGCTTTTGAATTTATACGCCTCGTTCATGCCAAACGTGTAATTAAAGAGTCCTTAAACGGGTTAGGCCCTATAAATATTATAGAAATTGCGTGGTGTTCATTTTGTGTAGAAAGTATAGATAAGATGCAAAGCTTAAACAATCGGTGTAGGAACTGTATTCCAGGGAGAGATGCTGATAAGGAATGCATTTTTAGGCGTTTCTATTCAAGGCTAGACTGTCCGAGGGGGATAAGGTTCCTTGTTTCAGCCTTTTGTCATTTTAACCTTCTCACCTTTTTCATTAGAAATCACTGACACGTGAATGTAAACTGTAGTTAAACAATCAATTATATAACCCAAATAAGACATCATTGGCATGAAGTTGGTCACCGAAATCCTTTGAATTTATGACTGGCCTCTTTAAAGAAAGTTAATAGGTAATTTTATTAGCACCAATTTATTTCATAGCCCGTTTGAGTTAAGAATCATTTAATTTGTGCTACATCAAAATGCGTTTATGTCTTGGTTTAGGTGCACTCGAATAATTCGTTTGCCGAATTCTGTTACTACCACTTATGGAAATTTACAGTTCTTTCTTCGTAAAGGTGTTTAAGTTGTCAACTTCATATTTTATGATTTGGCAGCAATATTGGGTTAATTCTCTAGGTTTTATAATGCAGTATCATTATGGCTAGTCTAAACTATAGGGTCTGTGCCTAAACAATCGTTGCTATTACGACCTTGGATGCAGTTTAGTATAGAATTGTGACCGTTTTTTGAGTGTTATGCCTACCTGCTCGCTGTGTGTTTACCTGCGCAGTCTGGAGTAGTTTTTTTTTTTTTTTTATCCAACCATGGATATCAAATCATGTTGCGCGCCCTTTTTCTCATAGGCCTACTGCCATATACCTTTTTTTCAATCACCCTAATAACAGTAGCAGACTCTCAAAAGTACTTTCAGTCCTTCTGAGATGGAGTGACTCTACATTTTATTTGTTGTTGCTTTATTTAGATGACCATGGAGGTATATTTTTATACCTCCATGAGATGACAGTGTATTTTCCACTGCAGTAACCCGTTGGCGAGATTGCTTTTCCGCCACCAAACTAACAATTGATTCAGTACGGCAATGTCCCCATTCCCATAGGCCTAATTAGGCCTATACAAACCAAAAGATGCTTTTAAGTCCTAAGATAAGTCGAGTCGTGATGTGTTTATGAATGAATAGGCAATATGCTTACGGTTTTAGTGTTGAGAAATTACGAGGTTTGAATAACTACAGTAAAGTCATGACAGCCTACCAATCATGAAGTTTTGATTAATTCTTCCTGCTTGAATCACTCTACACAG